GGCTGCCCCATCCCTGGCAGTGTTCAAGTCCAGGTTGGACACAGGGGCTTGGAGCAACCTGCTCTAGTGGAAGGTGTCCCTGCCCGTGGCAGGGGTTGGGACTGGAGGAACTTTAAGGTCCCTTCAAGCCAAACCATTCCAGGATTCCATGATTACAGGTGAAAATAGCAAAGACTTTGGTTCTGTTTCCATGTCGACCCACGTCACAAGTTTAGTGCAGCTTCCCTTTTTTCTTGCAGGTTTGCAGGGCACCGTTTGTGTGTGATTTCTCTGTGTGTGAGCTGAGAGTTCCTTGCGCCAAGAGGCCCTCTTAGCTCTTTGCAGGCAGTTTTTAAACTGTGCTATTCTTGGTTCTTTCCTGTCTTGTCTCACTTGGTTGAAGCTTTCTAACTCTTGACTGTTGTTGCTAGATATGGTGTCAGAAACAGCCTTCTCCTTTCTCCAATGCCAACTGCTTCCACTGCTCAGATCCTGGGCAACAACGAATCCATCGAGCCCTACACCAGTAACATCTACACACGCAGAGTCCTCTCAGGAGAGTTCCAGGTAAGAAGGCAAAGGAGCTTTCCTCTTTTCATGCTTTTATGACTTTCCCTCCTAGGAAAGATAAGGTGATGCCGCACACTTGGTAACTCAGTTCATGAGATGTCTATGTCAAAGGCCAAAAGCACCAAGGGGAACATGTAGGTTGTTCCATGTGCTGCAGTAGTGCACATGTGCATATTCCGCAGTAGGCATGGTGGAATGTGCAGAATTGCACAGAAGTGCTGCTTTTGTCTGCATAAAACCTTTATGAGGTCTCAAAATGGCCAGCAGGAGTAAGTGCTAAGGGAATGATGAACAGTGGGGTCATGAAGGGCTGTGTGTGCTATGGGAAGAGTAACTAAGACCGTATCACTCCCTACGTGACAGGAGGATGGAGCTAGGAGAGGGCTGGTCTCTGCTCCCAAGGAACAAGGGATGGGACAAGAGGAAATGGCCTCAGGCTGCCCCAGGGCAGGTTTAGCTGGAGCTGAGGAACAATTCCTTGCCCAGAGGGTGCTCAGGCATTGGAACAGGCTGCCCAGGGCAGGGCTGGAGTCACTGTCCCTGCAAGTGTTCACAGCCCGTGGAGCCGAGGCCTCAGTGCCAGGGGTTAGTGGTGGCCTTGGCACTGCTGGGGAGTGGCTGGACTGGATGAGTTTAAAGGGCTTTTCCAACCTTGTTGGTTCTGTGATTCTGATTTGTTCTTTTCCCTTCTGACCCCTCTTGCTGATTGTTCACACCCATACTTAGTAATTCAGGTTGTGGTTAGTGGCTTTGGTAAACCCAGATCTCTCCATTTCCCATCTTTTGGCATTCCTCATGCAGGGGAGCTCCATACACTCTCCTTTCTTATTTGTGAGGTCCATGAACTTGTACTGTCCTACTAGCTGGTGTCAGCCAGGCCTTGCAGACAGGCTTGTGTTGCCTGCAGTGGCCAGCAGCATCTCACTTTTGTCACCCTGTGTTTTAACGTTGTTCCTAGGCTGGTGTCTCTGCACAGCTCAGTGCTGACCAAAGAGAGAGTTTCTCAGTACATGTTTAACCATTTAAAAACCTGTGCACATTGGGATGCATTTGCCTCCTCTTGGAAGCTGTCTCTGTGCCATATGGCAGGCCTAGAGCTTAGCAGAACATGCGGTGCTTTCCTTCTTTGCCTTTGCCCCTTCCAGGTTGTGAATCCACACTTGCTGAAGGATCTCACGGAGAGGGGCCTGTGGAATGAGGAGATGAAGAACCAAATCATTGCCCACAATGGCTCTATCCAGGTAAGTGTTGAGAGGCCAGGAGAAGGCTCAGGGGTTCCTGTGGGTCTGTGAAGTGCTGGGACTGTTCTGCCACACTCTGCTTTTGGGGTCTGCTCTGTGTGAGTGACTCAGCCAGGCTGGGGTGAAAAGCTGTGCAAAACACGGGGGGATGTGTCTGATCTCAGTGGTGGTTTGCCCTGCTGGAGCCTGCCCTGTAACAGAGAAGCCCAGTGGAAATGTACTGCTATAGACTGCTGCAAACACACTGAGTCGGGCCACTCCACTGCAGACTGATCCTGCAAATGTTTGGATTGCCCTTTATCATAAAGCTGATAAAGAGGGAATTTCACAGCAGGAAGTAGGCTTGAGACAGGAGCTGAGTTTATGAGGTCCAGAAGAGTCTTATGTGGGATGAATGTTTTATGCTGTGGAGCTTGAAGTGCTGCTGTGTCTGTTGTGCTTGGAGTCAAGCTGACAAAGTGCATCCCACTTGTCATGGAGTTTGGGACTGGGTTGCTTTTTGTAAGACCTCACAAATGTTTAGGGCAAATGGTCTGTTTTGCAAACAGCTTTTTCTCTCCAGTTCCCCAGAAGAAGCTGTCCCATTGCAGGTAGCAAAGTTTCTTTAAGCTTGGTGCTTTCAGGTACAGGATGCTCAGATTCAGTGCTGGAGTTGAAAAGCCTTATTCTGGTCAGGAATGCTGTAGTCTCAGAATTTCAATATATCAATGGGGCTCCAAGAAACCTGGAGAGGGGCTTTGGACAAGGGCCTGTAGGGACAGGCCAAGGGGAATGGCTTTAACCTGCCAGAGGGGAGATTGAGATGAGCTCTGAGGCAGAAGCTCTGTGAGTCTATGAACTTGGTTTTATAAATATGAACATTTGGGCATTGGAAAAGTCTTTCCTTTTAGAACATCCCTGAGATTCCGGATGACTTGAAGCAGCTCTACAAGACCGTGTGGGAGATCTCCCAGAAAACTATCCTCAAGATGGCAGCAGACAGAGGAGCTTTCATCGATCAGAGCCAGTCCCTCAACATCCACATTGCAGAGCCCAACTATGGCAAGCTCACCAGCATGCACTTCTATGGCTGGAAGCAGGTACCTGGGCTGGTGGGGGGAGTCTTGTCCAGGGCAGAGAGCTTGTGGGGGCTGATCAGTTCTGACATGAACAATCGCTGTGGCTGATTCTTAGAAGGGGGAACAGCTGCTTCCTTCCAAGAAAGTGTGGTACCAGTGGAGTATCTCTAGAGCAGCGAAGCTGTTGGTCTCTTAGCATTGCCCCTGTTAATCCTGGCTGGTGCTGGACATGGCTGTGGGGCTGGTGCAGTGGCAGGGCTGGGGGAGGCCAGCCTCAGCAGCTCAGTCTGGCTCTTACTTGCCTCACCTCCAGCTCTGAGACTCAGGTTCTGCTCTGCAGGGCCTGAAGACAGGCATGTACTACCTGAGGACAAAGCCAGCTGCTAACCCCATCCAGTTCACCCTCAACAAAGAGAAGCTCCGAGAGCGGGAGAAGGCTTCCAGGGAAGAGGAAGAGAAGGAGAGGAATAAAGCAGCCATGGTGTGCTCCCTGGAGAACCGGGACGAGTGTCTGATGTGTGGCTCCTAACGGATCCACCCTGCCCTGCCAGCACAGCCCTTCCCCCCGGC